ATCAGCATCGAATTGTGGTGTATCCTAAATCAATCACGCATTGTCGTGTGTGAATTTTTTGACGACTAAAACTGCTTCTAAATAAATTAGGCAAAAAAAGTTCAAATGTGTCTTTGAGGGAGTATGACTTTTAATAAAAAATCAACTTGTTTATAATGAAAATACTGATATTAAAACGTTGATGAGAAAAAGTGTTTCTTACAAAAGCAATTTCGAAAGAACCACTCTTTTTTATAGCAATTGTTGTGGATGCCCCAAATGCCATAATAAAATAGTTAACACTTGGTATCACCATACTGGTCATGTTCTTTTTTTCTTTTGGCCCAATGTTCAGTATCCAATCTTAGGCACTAGAGAACACCTTCTGTGTAATTGTATTTCCAAATCAACTTACAATTGTTGATGCGGCAACCGGCAGGTCCAATGGCTTTTGCTGAGAAGATGGTACTGGCTTTGTTTTCGGTGCGTCCCCAAGTACTTAGTTTCGCATAGTTTTTGAGTATGGATGTGTCCTCCAGTTATTATGACTAGCATTTTCTGCAGATGCTGATTGTTTTGTGGATGACAAGAAGCATAACGGAGGATATTCCGGGCTGGACAGTCCTCTTCAACGGGCATGCCGGAGATGGAACTGTCAGTGTGTGTGTTGACATTTCTTCTTATGTGTTCTAACTTTAAACACGAAATAGCCTTATAAACAGACCTTTCGTTGGATCAAATTTTCAAGTGTGACTTGAAATGTTTGTAGGTTATGATTGCAACTTTTTTGTTCACAATTCCAAGCAAAAAGCAAAAGGGTGAGAAGTTGATGGACTGGGAAAAATGCAAGAAGCTACCCTGGAATATCATATTGTTACTAGGTGCTGGTTTAGCCATAACTGACGGAGTTTGATCCAGTGGCCTTGCTAATATATTATCGGAAACCCTAGATTTTTTGGGGGCAGTCCCATATGTTGCCATTGCACCTGCTGTGTGTCTCATAAGTAGTTCCATCACTGAGTTGATCATATCAAACAACGCAACAACCACGCTTATTATTCCTCTCCTAATTCAAATTGCCAAACGTATGCATGTGCATCCTCTCCTTCTGATGTTTCCGGGTGGCATTGGGGCACAATTTGCTTTCTTGCTTCCTACGGCAACTCTTTCAAATACCGTAGGATTCGCCACTGGCCACATTGAGATCCAAGATATGATCAAGATTGGCTTGCCATTGAAGATTGTTGGGATTGCTGTGTTGTCCCTTTTGATGCCCACTCTTGGTAACATTCCTTTTCTCTTCATTATTTAGCTCACTTAAATTTTGATCAATTTTCATCTTCACTAGTTCTACTTGATGTTGTAGTTCATAAGTAACTATTGAGTTTTGGCTATTGCAGGAGCTTATGTATTTAGGACAAGTGAACCAGTTCAGTGACTTGAAAGTTCAATAATGTTATGATGTCTCACAAAATCTCAAGGCATAACAAAAAGCAGAACATATTTTGTTAGCGATAGTCCTATGATTCCATTCATCTGTGAATTTTTTTTTTTTTAATTCATGGTATATATTCTATTTCATAGTTTTGGATGATGTTGGATTGAAAAGCTTTTCTATAGAACTTATAGTTATTTAAAGTGTTTTATCCATTCTTACATTTACTCTCATAAACTATAGCTGATTTGTTAATCTCTTACCAAAATACGCAAATTATTTTGTAAATTTGTTCTTATTCTAGTAGGAACAACAAATGCAGAAGGGGAACACATATACAATCAGTGTTATTCTAGACAAAACCTTTATTCTCACAACATTGGGTACGATTGTTATAAGTTTCAGTTCATTGTTCCTAAATTGAAACAATTTACTATTAGCACAAACTTTTTTATATTTTAAACATGATATTTCATGCATTTTCTAATCCTGTAGCAACGGGCGGGTAGTACTTTCTAGTATCTTCTATACATCAAATACATTTCCTTGGCTCCATTTTATGACGTCCATTTCTTCATTTCTTTGACTCCAAGATATCCATCATCAGCTACTCCCTTGTTTCCTCATAGGTACCAATGTACTCGCCGGCAATTGTCCTCAAAATACCTATGCATTCCTTTACTTGCATCGTGGCTGGACCAGCAAGAGACCCTAGCATGTGCCGATCGACCTAACATCCTCTAACGATGCCAACTAGTCGATGGTTGGTCTGATGATATCACAAGAGGATGTCAGGAAGGGACATGCTAGGCTCTCTTGTTCGCTTTCGCACGGTGCAAGTAAGTTCAAGGAATGCAAAGGTTCGGTGGCGACTACTTTGGTACCTATGAGAAAACGAGGGGGGAGCTGATGATGATAACTTTCAGATTGACGAAAAATTCACAAATTCAACGCAACGGGTCAAACTTTGTAAAGTTTTAGCTATGAACCGAATAATGGGCCTCCAAATTTGTAGTGCAACGGGCCTGATTAAATTCGTGTGTTGGGCGTCCGAAAGTAAAGCCCCATCTTTTCTAACCTAAATAAATTTTTTCACACAAATATCATCTGAACTATTCCGGGGGTGTGCATTTACTATCAAACAAATTTTTTTCTGAGAAGCTGCAACCAATACTTCCTTTTGAGTGCTATTTTACTTTCTTATTTGCTAGCACATTATCTCTGGCAATCCAAAACCCATAAAACCACTTTCACATGATCATAAATATATGCAGTTGACTTACCACCAAAAACTAAAGACGAATAATTGATCAGCATATAAATGTTTCTCAAATACTGTCTCTCTCAAAGTGCGAAAGAACAGACAACAATAGTCTTCGTCCGACTGATGAGAATATGAACATCTGAACCTACTAGGGACTGCATACTAGAAAACAGAGAAGGAAGCTTCCCTAGTCACTCTCATTTTCAAGCTTTTTGTGTTACTCGACCTTTCCCTCGCGGTGAATGAACAGATGAATCGAAAGATATACTCACGCGTGGAGATCATGGCTAGAGGAAATGAAAGTGAGGCTGAAACTTGAAAGAAGAGAAATGAAAGAATTAAGTAGTTATTGTTGAAAATAAATTTCACATTGATGGGAGGAGGGACTTTGCATAGACTTTTATGGTAGAATCTTAACTTTTCATGATATTAGAGCAGGTTGTCCCACGTGTGAAGCCTAACGGCCACACGCGTTTCATGTCATCCTGTTTGTGTTTGTTCATGTGTTTGGTTTGAAATTTACCACACATGAGGGGGGCGTGTTGAGAATGAATCCCATATTGAAGGGATGAGGGACCTTGCATATGAGCTTATAAGTAAGTTGGTCTATTCATCATATTGCCAATTAATTTTATGATGTAACTCCAACTTTCTTCAGTTATTCCAAAATAAAATCAAATGTACATGGCCTCACATGAAGGATTGATGCCCTACTTATACACATTTTGACATTATTTCCTGATCTCGTGTGAGATACTTGGAGAAGAATCATCAATGCCTTGCCCAATACGTGTTTTATGTCATTTTCACCAACAAATTACGTATCACTAAGTGATATGAGTTTTGATGGTCTTATTTTCAATCCCACACGTTATCTTTTGAAATTGAGGGCAGCTAGAATAATTGATCATGTGACTTTGAACATGTAACAAGATTTGGCAAAACCAAACTTGGGGCCATGACAATAATTATACCCCTACCATTTTTAAGAAAACTAAAGGAAAAGAAGGAAAAAGGCCAAAAGAAGAGGAGGACCACACATATAATTATACCCCTACCTTAGTGATTGTGTTTGATTGGGCATTATTGCTCTTATAATGGCAATTTTGTCCTCTCGATCGATAGAAACCACAAAGTTGGATAGCTATAATGTGTGTTCCACAAGGCAGTTATGGGTTTTTATTTCTATTTTTTGTGATTGTCTCGACGTAGAGATTTTAAAACCAAAAAATATTAAACTTACTGCAAATTATAATATCATTTAAATTCCTAGATTTAGGATTGCTCCAGCTAAATCGACCTCTAAGTTGTGATTATTATTTGAGCAGTAGATTACACTGAAGTTTAGAGTCCAACTTCTATTGGTTGATATGTATTATTTTTACATGATCGGATTATACTTATAGAAAAATAAGTACGTTAATTAATAATAATTCAATATTCAAAATTGATAGTCATATTAACATTATCCTAAAAAAATGCTCCAAAACTACCTGTAAGGTGAATCATCAGTGAAAAAATGAATTTGGGTCTGCCATGTAAACTGACAAATCATTTCAAGGCCAAGGAAATGAGAGATTTTTTAGTGTGACCGTCACAAAGGATGATACACCACGTGTCATTATATAAATAATAAAATATGTGTATCAAAAAGTTAATAACTTAAAAAATATAATTTTCTACTACTTACATAAAAACACGTAATGTACCACCTGTGTTCCCGTCATAATTAAAAATTTCTTCAAGAAAACAATATAGCACAATCATTCAGATGATAGCCGGACTGGACCTTGCATTATTATCAAGTTCAATGGTTGTGGCAATTTGTAGTCCTTTTCTGCACACGTGGCTCTGTTTCGTGGCCTCTTTGCCCGCACTAAATTTGAATGAGAGGTAATCTATTAGAAAATGTCACACTTTGCCATGTTCTTGGATATAAATTTTGCTAACTCTTAGCGAATAAATGACAATAAGTAGCAAAGTCCAATTTAATTAGCAATACCAAAATGAAAGCCAAACTTGTTTACTACTACTTTAGTGATGAATGACTCAAAACTTCTTACATATAAGTTATATTATTCAAAACTCGCATGAATATGATCTACAATACCTACGTGTGACATTATATGTATAAAAAGAAAGACAAATTTGTCTACTATTGTATATGTTTTGATAAGCGATATTTTAAAACACTTTAATTTATAGAATTTATTTGTATTAGAGTGTGTATCAGTAACATGAACAATTTGTCAGTCTAAATGGCATTAATCTATAAATAAATAAAAAAGCCTCAAACTCAAAGACAAAAAGACGGACACACTACACCGGCCAACCAATGAACCTTACTTCCTTGTATGCATAACTAGATAGAAAAGCCTTACTTCTTTGTATACAAAACCGAATATAAAAGCACCATTTCCTCGCATTATATAACCAAGTGATTTCCGTAATCCAATCCAACATCAATAACATGGATCATCATCCAATATCCGAAGACCCCAAAACCCCGCTTCTCCCTCTCCACGATCAAATCCAACGGTCGCAGAGCTTCCATTCATCCTTGAAATCCATTATAACACTCAAGAACTTCTTCATCCTCCTCGGACCTCTTCTTTGCACCATCATATGCCTCTGTGTGAAGCTAGATGGCCCGGTGGCCAGCTGGAACATGTTGGCAGTGCTGGTGTGGGTGTTTGCTTGGTGGCTCACGGAGGCCGTGCCCATGCCAATTACCTCCATGTCCCCACTCTTTCTCTTCCCTTTCTTTGGAATATCCTCTGCTGATGATGTTGCTCAATCTTACATGGACGATGTTATTGCCCTTCTTCTTGGAAGCTTTATATTGGCTCTTGCTGTTGAGCATTATAACATCCACAGAAGATTGGCCTTGAATGTGAGTTTCTCTAGCTACCATGCTTCTCTGCTAAGATGGATCATCTTAATGGTTATTTATGCTGTGATTATTATGCTTAATGGTTATTTTAGTACAAGCGTACAGATACATGAGAAAAACAAAGGAAGGGACCAAATGGCAAACATTTTACTTCTCTATTCGTTCACAATTTCCCTCGGTTATTTTTGCATTTCTTGTTTGGTAGAAAGCTATTGCAGCCATATTTTATTACATACGATAATTTTAAATTTGGTTTGCCCGGAAATTCATTGGATTAGATTTGAGAAATCTGTCATTTACTAGTTAGTTCACTGAATAATCCCATAGATATATAATAGGGAACTTTAATGAAAAGCTTCCGGTATTCTTCACTTTAACGAAAAATCACATTTTTACATTAAGAGGTCAATCATGTATCATTCACCTTATCCTTTATTTTGTCCTTATCGTTAAAACTCAAAGTTTTCAAATCATTTTCATTAGTTTTTCTATATCCTATCGAAATTTTAAATATTGAAAAAATATATTTAGCTATTTTTTCTTCCTAAATTAATGCACTTTTGTCCAAGAATACGGAAATGCAAGAGAGGAGCGTCAATAACGCTTTACTAATCCATGGTAAATGTTACGTTAGAAGGGAAACGTGAATTTGAATTCTCATACATTTCATTCCAAAATCAACAAGAATCAAATGGATAGTCCTCCCTCCAATGACCCCAAAATCCCACTTCTCCCACTTGATGATCCAAATCCAAACCATAACTCACAAATCCGCTACCCTTCTTCACTGGAATCCATTCTACCATCCAAGAACTTGTCCATCCTCCTGGGGCCTCTTTTGAGCACCGTTATTTGCCTCTGTGTCAACTTAGATGGCGCCGTCGCTAGCCGGAATATGTTGGCCGTGCTTGCCTGGGTGTTTGCTTGGTGGCTCACGGAGGCTGTGCCGATGCCAGTTACCTCAATGTCCCCTCTCTTCCTCTTCCCGCTCTTCGGAATTGCCTCTGCAGATGATGTTGCCCACTCTTACACGAACGATGTTATTGCCCTCGTTCTTGGAAGCTTTATTTTGGCTCTCGCCGTTGAGCATTATAACGTACACAAAAGATTGGCCTTGAATGTGAGTCCTCTTTTCATTGTTGTTTTCTCGTATTAACCCATTCATGTGATACATCGCCCGCATAATATTATTGGCTTCAATAAAGCAAACATAAATACATCGTTTAAAGAAAACATAAATATATTTTCGACAACATTAATATGTGTCACAACTTCAGAATTGAGTGCCTTAGTGTCTGAACCCTACTAGGGTGACAACCACATTGTGCTCGAACCCTGTCGTATACTATCCGCTTAGGGTTTTCAAAATAATTTCTTTTTTGGATTCAAGCGATACTAGTGAAGGAGAAACAAACTTTGGACTTCATGTACAAGAATAATTTATGGTAATGCTAAAGAGACTATCTATTTAAACTAAATTTTGGAAACTATATGATGTGGTTGTTGATGATTGAGAGAAATTTTTTAATGTGCCGAAAATAGGACTCGGTACATCAAGTGTCATAATAAAATTGGTTGGATTTTCTTTTCAAGTTTCCAACAAAATGTATTATTACCCTTGATCAGTCGGGCAGTATTTACGGCACATTGAAATTTTTTTTGATGTTTGAATTATTATTTAAATATTGATTGACGTATTTATTTTTACATTTACAAATTGGACAAGTTGATTTACCTAGTATTCCAGAACACAGATAACCCTGGTGTTCTGCGGAGATCCCTTGAATCCACCATTGCTGCTGCTGGGAATATGTGGGACCGCAGCATTCATCAGCATGTGGATGCACAACGTGGCAACTGCGGTGATGATGATGCCCGTAGCCACTGGCATTCTCCGACGGTTTCCGACGGGTCCCGACCAATCCGTGGTTGTGAGCAACTTTTGCAAAGCCGTGATTCTGGGGGTGTTGTACTCCATAACCATAGGAGGGATGAGCACTCTGACGGGGACAGGTGTCAATCTCATATTGGTTGGAATGTGGAAGAGCTATTTCCCACAAGCAGCTCCGATCACCTTCAGCACCTGGTTCTGTTTCGCCTTCCCTTCGGCATTGTTGATGTTCTTGGCTTTGTGGGGTTTGCTTTGTTGCTTGTATTGCTCAAGGGGTTCAGGCCAGGCTCTCTCTGTTTATTTAGACAAAGCCCATTTGAAGAAGGAACTCGAATTGCTAGGTAGGAGCCCTCAAACTTAGAGCAACTTACATGCAATCAACATCGAATTGTGGTGTATCTTAAGTCAATCATACATTGTTGTGTGTGAATTTTTTGACAACTAAAACTGCTTCTAACTAAATTAGGCAAAACAAATTTAAATGTGTTTTTGAGGGAGTAGGACTTTTAATAAAAAATCAACGTGTTTCTAATGAAAGTACTGATATTAAAGCGTTGATGAGAAAAAATGTTTCTTACAAAAGCAATTTCGAAAAAACCACTCTTTTTTACGGCAATTGTTGTGAATACCCCAAATGCCATAATAAAATAGGTAACACATGGTATCACCGTATTGGTCATGTTCTTTTTGGTTTTTTTTTTATTTTTAGAAACTGTTCTTTTTGGCTTTTGGCCCAGTGTTCAGTATCCGATCTTAGGCACTAGAGAACACCTTTTGTGTAATTATATTTCCAAATCAACTTACAAGTGTTGATGCGGCAACCGGCAGGTCCAATGGCTTTTGCTGAGAAGATGGTACTGGCTTTGTTTTCGGTGCGTCCCCAAGTACTCAGTTTCGCATAGTTTTTTAGTATGGATGTGTCCTTCAGTTATTATGACTAGCATTTTCTGCAGATGCTGATTGTTTTGTGGATGACAAGAAGCATAACGGAGGATATTCCGGGCTGGGGAGTCCTCTTCAACGGACGTGCCGGAGATGGAACTGTCAGTGTGAGTATTGACATTTCTTCTTATGTGTTCTAACTTTAAACACGAAATAGCCGTATACACAGACCTTTCGTTGGATCAAATTTTCAAGTGTGACTCGAAATGTTTGTAGGTTATGATTGCAACTTTTTTGTTCATAATTCCAAGCAAAAAACAAAAAGGTGAGAAGTTGATGGACTGGGAAAAATGCAAGAAGCTACCCTGGAATATCATATTGTTACTAGGTGCTGGTTTAGCCATAGCTGACGGAGTTCGATCCAGTGGCCTTGCTAATTTATTATCTGAAACCCTAGATTTTTTGGAGGCAGTCCCATATGTTGCCATTGCACCTGCGGTGTGTCTCATAAGTAGTTCCATCACTGAGTTGATCACATCAAACAATGCGACAGCCACGCTTATTATTCCTCTCCTAATTCAAATTGCCAAAAGTATGCATGTGCATCCTCTCCTTCTGATGATTCCGGGTGGCATTGGGGCACAATTTGCTTTCTTGCTTCCTACGGCAACTCCTTCAAATACCGTAGGATTCGCCACTGGCCACATTGAGATCCAAGATATGATCAAGATTGGCTTGCCATTGAAGATTGTTGGGATTGCTGTGTTGTCCCTTTTGATGCCCACTCTTGGTAACATTCCTTTTTTCTTCATTATTTAACTCACTTAAATTTTGATGAATTTTCATCTTCACTAATTCTACTTGATGTTGTAGTTCATAAGTAACTATTGAGTTTTGGCTATTGCAGGAGTTTATGTATTTAGGACAAGTGAACCAGTTCAATGACTTGAAAGTTCAATAATGTTACGATGTCTCACAAAATCTCAAAGCATAACAAAAAGCAGAACATGTTTTGTTAGCGATAGTCCTATGATTCCATTCATTTGTGAGTCTATCTGTGATTGTGAGATACCTGTATGAATTCGAAGCATGATTTTAAATTTACATTTCATATATGATGTCAGAGATGATCAACCTTATAAACATGTGTGATTATGTACATCAAATCAAATTAATTTTAAACCAAACAAATAAATAAAGTACAACTAATGCATATATATTTTTGCTTATTATACAAGATCACACCATTACATCATCTCTAATAAAATAACATTACATCCCAAGCAAATTTAAGTTTTAACAGCACACCACAATACATATCGCACACAAAGTTTAAGGCTAGAGTAACCAAGATAAATCAATGATCGGAGGCTTCCATGGAGATGCTGATTTTCTGGGCTGTTATTGATCACTATACACTGATCTGTTTTTCTTTCTCCAAACTCCTTCCTCTTCAACCTCGCGGGGAAGATTTTTGAACTTTGAACAATGGCGAATCTCCATGTAGCGGAGTGCAGGCATAATTTTCCTCAAGTTATCCCCATCTTCCTCATAGTTCAGCAACTTCAAACACAAACCCTCAACATGTTTCCAAGTGGACTGATCACTGGTCAGTTTCGCAATGTCACAATTCTCAACACAGAGATACTGCAATCCAGAAAGCACATTCGGATGAAACCAGTTGGGCATTGCGTTGGAATGATAATTCCTTACATACAGCTCCCTGAGATTTGGAGGCATCTTAAGCCCGTCTAACTTTCCCAAAGTTTCCTGTTCTTTACATTCATCAGCATCAATGGTAACGACCTTGAGATTGCTGAGACTTGATAGGATGCCTATTTCATCTGGAGAGATTTCAGTGTCAGCACTTAGCACAATTCGAAGAACTCTTAGGTTCTTTAGTTCTCTGAGCTCACGAAGGGCGCAACCCTGTGTTTTGGCCGGATTCACCACCTTGAATCCGGTAAGTTCTTGTAGAAGACAGAGGTTCCCTAGACCCTTGGGTAGGCAATCAAGGGGACAATCTCCAACGTCCAAGACAATGAGCCTCTTCAAACATTTGATGGATGGGTGTATTTTGACTAATTTTTTGCATCCGTTCAACACCAAAAGCTGGAGGTTAAGCAGTTTCTGAATCGAAGATGGGACTTCCCGTATCTGAGTTCCACTCAAGTTTAGACATGCTAAGCGTTTGAGAGAACTGATATAGCTGAAGAGATCCTCAGCACTTGTCACTGTTAAATAAAACATGTGAGATGGATTTTTTGTTTTGTTTCATTTTTGTGTTTTTGTTTGTGGAAAATGATTTCTACATGTCTCTTCTTCTTACACACACTCATGTTTATTTTTTTCCTTTGATTTATTCCATCCAAAGGTCATGAATAAAGTAAGTGTGCATAAAGGAAAAAAGAGGCGTGTGATAATCATTTTTTTATGCACAAACATCACATATACAAGTGCACACACTCAATAGATCAAAATTAGAAAGCATGATGAAGAATTCAAAGTACGTTCTACCTGGAGACTGGGTGATGCTATATTCGACAACTTTAGAGTAAGACAAGTCCAACACCCTGAGGGACTCCAGGAACCCAAAATTCTTGCCAAAGTTACTAGGAGGGCTTGACATGAGAAAAAATGTCCTCAACTTTGGATTATCTTCTAATTCCTTCTTGTCATCATCCATGTCTTCGCTGATACGGAACCATCGTGGCTTTTGCTCATTTTGCTCATTTTGCTCATGTTTCTGCATTAGCTTTCCCTGCTCATTGAAGATGCAAAATGCCTCCTCTCCCGCAATCTTGATAATTACCTCCCGCACCATATCGTGTATCTTGCACTTATAAACTTTCCCATCATACCATCGCCTATCCACTACTTCCAGCAGGCATCTGTTCACTAGTTCTGCGAGATATTCATATCCCAATTCTATAGCTGTTTTTGAATCCTTTTGCTGGACGAGGCCCTCCCCAACCCACCAGTGAATCAACTGTTCGGCATCTATCTCGAAGTCTTCGGGATAAATGGAGACGCAAAATAGGCATTGCTTGAGACTGGTATGTAGAAGTTCATCATAGCTTAACTGCAGAGAGTCGATGACATCTACAGTTTTTCCTTCGGTTGTGAGTGCATGGAATTTGTTCGAAATGTCTGTCCATTCTAAAGGAGAATCAACCTTCTCAGACAATAAGCTTCCTAAAGTCTTTATTGCCAGAGGAAGGCCACCACATTTCTTCAAGATATGCACTGAGACATCTTTATAATGATCACCAGGGCATTCTCCATTGCTTTTTCGAAATGCATGTTCACTGAATAAATCCCAGCTGTCTTTGCTCTTCAGAGGTTGATGGTAATGAATTTGTGTGTTTCTAAGAACCATTTTTTGCGCAACGTGTTCATTCCTGGTGGTAATAATGATGCAGCTGGATTTACCAACTGATGTTGGTAGCTTGTAGCACAGGTCTTTCAACCAATCTGATTTGTTTTTGTAAGGCCACACATCATCCAGGACAATGAGATAGGATTTACCATTAAGGACAGTGATGAGTCTGCGCAAAATTTCATCATTATCCAAGGAAGACGTTTCTTCATTAACTTTGCTGAGTAACCTTTTCAGGATCCACTGCTCGCAGAAATTTCCGGAAACACACACCCACATTGTCTTTTCAAAGTGATCCAAGATTTGAGAATCGTTAAAGAGTTGTTGAGCAAGGGTGGTTTTGCCCAGGCCCCCCATCCCCACAATGCCAATGTAGTTCATTGCTGGTTCCTTCTCGTCGTCTTTAAGTATCCACCCTTTCAACTCTTCTATGTCCCCATCCAATCCATATGTCTTATGTGGGTTTAGTGAACCAACAAATGGCCTGCTGCTGATGATGTGTTGGCTCATACTATCTGGTGCAGCAGCTGATGCACTCAAATACTTGACCAACTCGTCGTGCACCTTCTTCATATCAGAATTAATGTTCGTCAACCTCCTGCCCATCTGATACGGGAAAACCGGCTCCAGAGGCAACAAGCATGAGAAGAACGTCTTTTTCTTCTTTTCTTCCTCTCTGATCAGGCAATCCGTCAATGCGTTGTCGGCTTCATAAATCACTTCCCTTAGCTCACCCAAATATTTCTTGACCGTTTCCTGTTCAGACGACAGTTTCAGTTTCTTGTCTGCGTCGACAACTAAGCAATTCATTTTTCCAAGCCAGTTCTTCATCTTCTCAAGCTCACTTTTGAAATTAAAACAGAACTGAGCTTCGTGCGCTGTACTGTGTAAAAAAAAAGCTATGTTTTCAAGAAAAGCTTTAGGTCTGATTGACAAAGTGTGATGTCGGAGGATGTGATAAGAGCATATTTATGCGAATTAGTTGGCTTGTTTTCTTGCATTTACATAGTTATTTCCATTTATTATAGTGTTTTAAGTCGTGTGTTTATAGGTTTAAATGGCAAAGTTGGCAAGAAAGTGCAATTTGGAGCTATTTGAAGCAGTTTTGGGCTTGGAATGAATAGCATATGCATGGAGCAAGGTGGATGGATGCATTTGAAGTTCAAGAAGGGATAGGAATGTGCTTAACATCTGGAAGAATTAAATCAAAGACTTGGAAGATAAGGAATCAGCCATGAAGAAGGAAATGATGTGAGATTTATAAGCACACAAATTAACCCTCTTTTTATCAGTTGTAGTGAAGTATGTAAGTAGGGATCGTTCTGGACCGGGGATTAGGAGGGATTGTTAATCACTTGGATTTGACTCAAAAACGTAAAAACACAATATAAGACACCAAACTAGACCCAAAGAATGCAAAACTAAAGTTTAAAAACACTAAGACAAACCAAAAGACTCAAAACAAGTCCACAAGACTCCAAATACTTAAAAACACAAAATAAGATAGATTGTAATGACTAAGACTAAACAAAATATGGGGGGGGATTGAGGTTTAGACGAAATTAAATACAAAACTTAAAACTTTGTAAAATGAACAGATTGTAAAAACGAATTTGATGGAATTGAATGGATGGGAAGCTAGCTAAGGGGTTCATCTCCACACATGTTATACTTGCACACAAAACGATTTCTAATTGCTTTTCAATAAACCATGAATTCTCAACGCCCCAGATTAACCGTGAATTGCACTAATTAACCCTCAGATTTTCCTAACGTTATTGAATTGGATGATTGCATACGACAACCCAAAACATTCCCCACAAGTCCCCTACATGATTGCATAATAGGGATACAAGCAAGAATCGTTAAGTTCTATGAAAACCATAAGCATTGACGAAGCACTTGTTACTATGATTGCATGAAACTTATGCCAAGAATTTACTTAACGCGATTGAGATCATCAACCTTTATTACTTGTGAATATAATTCCATAACGATTAGGTGAAATTTCCTTATATCCTAGCATCCAATTTATGCATGAAAATTAAGCGTGCACTCTCAACCAACATACACAAATCAATGTAACTCACGTAGATAAGTAAATTGAATTCACAACTTAAGAAACGCAATTAGAAGTAATCAAATCATATCGCAAGCATAAACATGTATTTCGAATCCCCCCCTAGCCAAGGGGGGTTTAGTTCCTCATACGTACAAGACAAAGATAAGTAAATTTAATCATTGAAATCAAGGAAAAGAAACACCTAAAAATTCCAACAACTCAAACTTGAATTGTATGAACGTTTAGGCCCTTCTCCTCCTCTTTGTTGCGGCACAAGGTCTAAGGATAGGTTTTGGGTTGGTGTTTGTATGTGGAATGGAGTGGGGAATGGTTGGGTAGTGTTTTGGAGGGATGGGGAGTGATGGAAATGGAAGAGAAGATGCTGGAAATGGAAGTGGGGTGCACGGCAAAGCTTTTAGGATTTGTGTTTGTGTTGTGGTAATGGAATCATCCTTTGTGGCTGCAATGGATGCTTATTTATAGGTGGATGAATGATTAAAAGAGGGAATATGACAGCTAGGAGGGAATGATTAAAGAGGGAATGCATGTGGCTGAATTGGTTGGCTGTTTTATGAAGGGGGAAAGCTGGAAATGGGATGGGTTATGCACGGCAAAGGCTTTGTTTGGGTGCATGTGGCTGAATTGCATCATGGGAAAGCATGTGAGTGAATGATTAAAGATGCATGTGGATTAAAGAGGGAGAATGTGGTGCAATGATGAAGTGGGAAGCTGGAAATGCAAAGGGGGATATGGCAAAGGGATGTTTGGTGCTGGAATTGAATGTGAATGCATGTGAATTAAAGCTAAGGTGAATGATGAAGAATGCATGTGGATTAAAGAGGGAAAATGTGGTGCAATGATGAAGTGGGAATGGAAGAATGTGGCTGCAATGATGGTGTGGAATGCTGGAAATGAAGAGGATGCAAGGCAAGGGATTGTTGTTTGTGTGAAGTGTGTGTGAATGGTGGTTTTGCATGGCTTTGATGGATTGTTTGATTGGGCTAGAGGTTTTGCATGGCTCAAAGGATTGTTTGATTGGGCTAGGCCCTTTGTTTTATGTCCTAAAGTGCATATAAGGCCTTCAATTTCGTCCAACACTTTGGCTCCAAGCATAAGCTATCCATTCTTAGCCCAAAAGTGCTCCAAAAGGCTCCAAAATGCACTTCTTTGCTCCTTTAGCCCTGAGAACCTGAAAACATACGAAAATAACTTAAAAGACTTAAAGAACTAAGAAATAACAACGTAAATGCACAAGAACAAGCCAACTAAGTTGCCTAAATATGCTCCTATCAAATTCCCCCACACTTAGCTTTTGCTAGTCCTCGAGCAAAAGAAAACAACAAAAGAACACGAAACTAGACAAAAATGAACAAAACACAACCTACCCCTTCCAACGTTGCCTCAGGGATTTCCAATGCACATGACATGTTCAAAATTCATTATCTCCACAGATTTTAGTCATCTTCACACTTAAGTACATTCTTAATCATAGTCACCACATACTAGTTCACAATTAAGCATTTAAAACCATGTTTTGAATGTAGTAACATGCCTTAGAGAATTTGCTCAATTCCTTACAAGATATGCACTCAATTTTCACTCAGATTTTCTAACTACACACCCTAATCTAGTCATATGTGAGAAGATTGATGTAAACATGAAAACGAACACTCACATATATGTATCACAAAGAAAACAATTTCTGGAGTTAATAAGCATGTTTAGATATGATCTCATGAATGGAATGCTACTACTTAGACGCGAGAACCAGTGACACCATATGCTCATACCCAATTCAAACTCTACAAATTGAAATGCACAACACTCAAGATAGAAGTCAAGGGTTGTAATGGGGCTTGGGGTGTTTGGCTAACAAAGAAGGGATATGGAAAACAAAGGTTCTTAAAGAAATAGTGAGCAAAGCATTCGAATCAACTTTAGAATTCACTTTTGAATGAAAACTCAACTTTTGAACAAAAAGGGAAAATTTAGACAATTTAGGGCCAGATTTGGTGTTTTGGACCCTTTCTTCAACATTCAACACTTAATCACTCATTCTTACATCTTGTCAAGCTTTTTTTTTTTTTTTTTTTTTTTTCTTTCTTTCTTTTTTTCTTTTCTTTTGAATCTCAAAACATACATATAAACTTAAGAACAAACATTCCCTCCCACACTCATTTTCTTGCATAATGTAACTCAAAAGGAATTCATTTAAGTCATGCTCACTATCTTTTAAGAACAAGGGTGTGGACTGTCCTAAACTAGGCTAGTGAGGATAATGTGGGTTAACAAGGAATAAAGGCTTAACAAGGCTCAACGGGGTTAACTTAACAAAAAATGAAGTAGGATACACGGCAATTTGGCTTTGGTGGTGGTCACTACACAACTTCTTCTTGAATATGTGTTATGCAAATCAATAACATGCTTTGAATGAAATGGGCATGAGTTCTAGCATTTGGAACTATATGATGAAACGCCTTCTAAGTAGTAACCAAGCAAAGAATAATGAGATCATGCAACGACTTTAGAAACAATAATGCACATATTTTAACTCTCCAAATAACGTTTAGGCTCAAGTCTCACAAGGTTGTAGCGTTTGTTTGAGTTCCTTCCTTCAAGCATGTTACAAAAACTAATTTTTCTTTTAGGATTGCATGTGAAGTCATACATTATAACCATAACCAAGCATATACCAAGAGTATATCAAACTTTTCTCCACGTTTATAACTCTTCTTAACAGTCATGCAATTAAAAACCAAATCCTCATCATTGTGTTGGAAGGTACCCTAAGACACAAACACACAAAAACGACTCAAAACACTCTTTTTAGGCTTTTCAAAACATGTTTTTCAAATTTTTATGTGATTTTCGGAGTTATAAAACAAAACACACTAAAACACTCCAAATCAGCTTAAAAACATTTTAAAACAGCAAGGAACAACACTTGAAGTTATGGGTGATAAAATCCAACGAATTTGCATCAACATACTTAGTTACCCCCCACACTTCAATCAAACATTGTCCTCAATGTTTTAAGCTTAAAAACCACACTAAACACAAGCAAACACAAAACAGCAACTAAACTCATTAAACAGGGCAGAATGTAAATAACAAAGAGAAGAGGTTTAGGGACGCAAATCTGGTTATGGAGTGTAAATTCCTTCTTCTCCTTGGTGATTGCATTGAGGCTTGATCTTGAGTTTTTCCACAGGCTAATCTTGAACTGAGCTGGAGGATTCTGACACATGGCAGGCAAGCACGAGGTGGAGGTGATGACCTGTTTCTTTGTTCAATCTTTCCAATTCGTATTGAAGAGGGTTAGAGGATAACTCAGCATATGCAGTTGTTGCGTTTGTTGACTATCCACAAGATTGATGTTTCCTTGTGACTCGTCTTAGCTGTTCTCCAAGCAGATGTGGTCTCTTCTCTGGAAGTGTATCAACCTTTGAAGATGACTACTCGAGAGCAACGCTAGGTAAGCAACCAGGGAATAGATTCCAGGTAGTCGGTTCCAGATCGGAAGACTGACTCCAAGTGTCGGCTGATTGCTCACTTCACTTTGCCATGCGAGTAATAACAAGGACAAAGGAAAAGACAGGGAAAGATCATGATATGAGATACCTTTGCTTTCGCCTTTGATGATATGAGATACTTTTGCTTTTGCAGAAGCAGCGAATGAATCAGCACATATATTTGTTGCGCTTGTCTCCACATGCTTCGATCCACCGTTTCCTCTTGCCTCATCTGTACTCCAGGCATCTGGTATCTTCTTTGGGGGTACATCAATGGTTGAATAGGTATTCTCAAGAGAAGAAG